GAAACAGACTCAAATATAAAGTCACCTGTACTTTTAGACTAGGAAGGGGATTCGTGAAAATTATGGAAGTCATTTGCCAGATATTGTCAAGCGTGTTTCTCTACTTCTGCAGTGAATCAGTCTGACACGGTCTTCATATTAAACAGATCAACCCTTTTTTCACAGACTCTGTTTGAGAGTGTTGACGGTCTTTTGCAGACAGATTTCATGAGGAGGTTGGAGGTCATGGAGGATCACACTTTGTTGAAGTTTGCAGCTGTTTGTGCCAACATGACAGCAGTGTGAACTTTGATTGAAGGGTGTTATTGAGAGTGAAACTCGGTGGATCCCTGTGCTGATTCACTCTAAAGAACATAATCCTCTGCAGGCGGCTTTACTGTAAAGAACTACTCACATCATAATGTGGACTCATGTCTTACAGTCTTATGTAACAGTGAACACTGTAAGCAGATTCTTACACAGCTCTGTGTGTGCATATACAAGAATTAAAATGTATTACCCAGCAGCAGACAGCTAATATGTACAAACAGACACCAGCATATGGTGGTGTGTTTGTAGAGGGTTTCATCTTTTCGCCTGGATGAACTCTGGAGTTTAAATAATAAATAGTAATAATTCAGAAGTTAACCATTTACAAAATATCGGTGTAGGATGATTCAACAAGCGTGTAAAAGTTTTACTGCTTCTTGAAATTTTTTGCTCATATTTTGGTCACGACTCTCAGAGAAGTGAAGCTGTATGATGGTTTCGAAAAACTATATTCATTTAAAATTGTGCAAAGAAGACACATAAATGTTCAAACTTGGTTCATTTTGGATTTGATGCAGGAAGGTATTTCCCAAAAGTAAATCCAGGTTCATGTTTGTTATTGTGGGTCATCAGCTCCTCTTTTCCCAACCCTCTGTAGACCTTAGTGGACCCAGCAGACCAGGTTCAGGAGTCTGACAGTCAAATGTTCTGATAGAGGATTTCAGCTGCTCGACAGTTCAGGATTTCCTTGATCCTGTTTTTGGGGTCATGATGCTCCAAATGTTTTCAATGGGGATCAAGTCAGGACTGCATCAGTCCAGTTTCTCAGCAGGACTCTTCTCCAACAGAGCCATACTGTTGTAATCCCTGTTGTCAGAATGTGGTTTGGGATCATCAGGGTCGTCCCTGAAAAAGTCTTTGTCTGGATCGACGCAGATGTTGATCCTAAACCTGAAGATATTGTTCAGTAAACTGAGGATGCAGCATCTATGATTTCCAGTTCTTTGTTGAAAGGGTAACGAGTAAGTCCAGTTGTCCTTTCCAAAACATTGTTAGATTTTGATTCATCAGACCTCAGAACAGTTCACATACTAGTGATATTAAGCCAATGCAGTGACTGCAACTACAGTCCTGATGCTCCTAAACCAGGAGATATAGTTTATCATTAATGGAGCCTTCACAGTTATGGAAGATAACCATGACATGGACTCTGATGATCCCCAGACCATCAGGGGTGCTGGATTAGCACTGGGAGCTGAGGAAAAAACGGGTGGACCCTCTACTTTTTAGTGGAGGATGCAGAGTCCAGGATTTCATGAAAGGCAGTCATATTTTTCAGCTTTCTGATTGGACAGATGAGTTCAGCTGTCGGGTTTGCAGCAGCCATTTAAATATGGACCAATCTGTGAGTGCAGCTCTGTAAAAAAGTTGAGGAAGTGTTTGGAGTTGGACGTGATCCCTGAAACAAAGTAAAGCTGTTATTGATCAAATGCAGCATGCAAAACCAGAAAAGGCCATGACTCTGATACCTGAACAGAGTCTCTCTGTGGATTGATTAATTTGGTCTTTTTACTTCATATGTATGTTTGATGAAAGTCAAAAAATTTGAAGTAAAAGTGGAAAAATGATGGATTTAGTTACTGTACAGCTGCTTTTGTGCCTTATAAATGTAAAACTTTGCAGTGAGAAACTGAAGCAGGTCATACTGAGTTCATATAATATCAGCTCTCTATTATTAATGACGTCAGACATTGAGAAACACAGAAAGGAGAAAATATGAGAGTGTAAAGAGAGCAGGAGAAACAAACACGACCAAAACAAGAGAGAAACACACCAGTGAGGTCGAAAAAAAAGTTTCAGGAAAACTCAGAAAGAGGCAGAAATAAAAACGAGTATACGTCACCAGACTGTCCCTGAAAATGAACCAAAGTCTGAGGAGGTCGAGCTGCAATCTGCAGATCTGTAACCATCAGTAACCAGTAGGTGGAGGTGAGGAAGTGCACAGACATCATGGTTTGGGTTAAATTAAGCATTTTAGTCTCTAAACGGGTTAAGGTCTCAAAAGTGAACAGCGGAGAAATACAAAGCTCTGATTTGTAGATTTTTGTGACTGTTTCAACCTGTAAAGAACTGAATCTTCACACTGACATATTTAGTTACTCAAAGAGATGTTATTCCTGTCCTTCCCACTCTGCACGGAGAGCTGTCTCACCACCATGCTGCTGCCAGATGACGTGTGTGTGTGTGTGTGTGTGTGTGTGTGTGTGTGTGTGTGTGTGTGTGTGTGTGATGTATCTTCTCATACCTCCAGATTTCATCTGCACCAGCTCCCCTGCAGACTGACTGTCAGGATGATTGATGCTCACTTACAAACAATCACAGACGCACATTCCTGCATGACCTACAAGTTTTCTGCAGATTTTTGTCACTCGGCTCTTTACAGAGTGGCTTTGCATTCCCAAAAATGATAACAGAGGTGTTTGTGGCAATATGAGCCTCAGAGCATGTCATTCTGAGATCACTGCATCAGATGAAGTGTAAAGGATAGTATCATCATGTGCGTGCGTGCGTGTGTGTGTTTTTAACTCAATAAGGTGTTGAGGATATTTTAGAGCACATTTGAAGGAGATTTTCTCATGCATGTTTTCTTCTCTGGACTGATACATCACCTTGTGTTCAATAACTTATGCATGCAAACAACCCTGACGATTAACATGACCAACCGAGTTGAAGGAAACAACCTCTCCAGGTGGCTACGAGGCCTTTTCTGCCTCTTCATAATCACATGACAATCAGAACAGCCAATGAAAATGAACGAAAAAGAGAGATCCACCTATCACAGAGACCCACATAGAAATGAGCGGGTGCAGATGCATGAGTGGAAATGAAGCCTCAGTCTGGATCTTGAGAAATCCCAAAAGAATTGGCTGTGTTGGCTCTCTCAAACAGGTGTGCCATCAAGGAGATATTCTAGTTTCATGTTTAGTCATGGGTGGAGTTAAACTAAAACTGAAAGACTGAAATTTATTTAATTAAAAAAGAAAAAACTGGTAGCACTTTACAATGACGACCTGTTATAAAGCATTTATTAACATTTATAAGCAGTTTGTAGATGATTAGTAAACATGAACAAACTGTTTATTGACATTTGTAAGTGTATAACTTTACATTTACAAACTGTTTAAACATCATTTGTATGTTGTTATTAAGGCATTAGTAAGTAGTAAATTAATCATGAACAAACCATTTATATATGTTTGTAAATGATTAATAAATCATTTGTAATTAAAATTATACATTATTTATATTCTATTTGTAGATAAGTTACCCTTAAGTAAGGTCTATTAAGGTGACTTAAATGTTTGTTCATGTTTAATATATGCTTTGCAAAACATTCCTTAAATATCTATAAACCATCAGTAGATGTTATTAAGAGCCCTAATGTAAAGTGAAGACTATTCATTATTTATAACTGTCATTTAAGGCAACCTCAGTGTTTGTTCATGTTTAATATATGCTTTACAAAACATTCCTTAAATACCTATAAATCAGTAGTTGATGTCATCAAGAGCCCTAATGTAAAGTGAAAACTATTCATTATTTACAAGTATTTGTTAATGTCGCCACCACGTTTGTTCACATTTAACAGACATTCATAAATAATGAATTGTCTTCACTTTACATTAGGGCTCTTGATAACATATACCAATGATTTATAGATGTATTAGTAATGTTTTATAAAGCATTTGTTAATGTGGACTTTCTACTTACCTGTTACAAACTTCCCGGCCTTCATGGGTGCTGACACGACACACAACTAGAATTCTCATGTTTCGCAAATGATTTGTGAGACAGTGCTAAGGATTAAAAAATATAAAAAACATTTGCATATGTTATGGTGTGCCCTGTCCAACTAGTCCAAGAGATTGCCTTACAGACCAAGTATTCTACATTATTTCATGTTTAACACAATGATCAGTGAAAGATTTAAACAATCTTGTACCACAATAAATGTGACAGACGCAACGGTGTAGAGAACAGCATTTAACATTTAATTCCAATATAAATTTATAAAACATTTACCCTGAACAGCTCACATTATCATTTAAACAAATAAAATATGTTTGTTTATAAAACATACAGAAAACCCTTAAAATGTAAAAAATAAATAAAATAAATAAGAGGGAGCAGTTCACACACACAACTAATCTTCAATCAATTACCCACCCATAAGGCTCAGAGCCATTAATTTGATGACTGGGTCATTAGTCAGTAGAAGCTACTTGAGTCTCCACCATGAGGTAGAAATGTCCCTGCCTGACCCGCATGTCATGCAGTAGACGACCTAAGGGGCCATGTCGGTGTTTCCTTGCAAGCCAGTCTTCCCACTCAATGACTAAAAGGTGGTCTTCAAGAAGCTCCTCGGAGCAGTTTCCTCTAAGTCGCCAGATCTTCTCCTTATATGTTCTCCAGGCTCTCTCTATATGTTGGGTGTGGGCCCCTGTTACTGGATTCACATAGGCAACACTGTGGTTTACTGTATAGTGCCTGTAGCCTAGTTGAGGCAGAGCATTGTAAGCTCGCCACTCATCACTAATGATGGTTGACCCTCTCCTGATGTACCGATTAATTAACGGCACTAGCGTGGCTCTGCTCCGCCTCTCCACCAAGCGGAGCACAGGTTTCTCTTTGCTTTGTCCTCTGCGCCGCACTCCCAGCATTCCGAAGACCCACTTTTTTCTTTTCCAGGCCCCAGCCATTCTGCCCCTTCCATACTGAAGATTTGAAAACAACAAGACATTGATATCGAGTTAAAAAAAAGCATGACCTGAGCAGAAGTCACCAGACAATTCACTTTCATAATCATTATTTAACATAGTCCATTTTTATTTTTCTACAGTGAGTGATAATATGGTTCTGATTGTCAACTTAATTTGGATTATACTAAAGTTATTACCTTTCTTTTATGCCTGAAGTGACTCTCATCTATAGCTCCTCCTATAGTATCTCCTCTCCCCTATTCGCTGTCCTTTCCTTCTCTGCAGCTTTTTCATGGCTCTTTTGCAGACCTCTCTCATGGTCTTCGACATTTTTGACAGGGTTCTTGATGATCCCGCAATGTCATCACTGATGAGGTCGATCTGCCGCAACCTCAGTCCTTGGGAGAATCTTGAAAAGCATAATACATCATGATGACAATGATTCCAGTTTATAGCAGACCTACGACACTGACAATTTAAGCTATATTAATTAATTTGCATTGATGTTCTCAATACCTGGCTACATAGATATAAACATAAAACACACAAGGTATGTGTTGTCTAACCTGTACACAAATCTCATCCAATTGCACAGTGAGATTTTGTTTTTGGAAAACAGGCTCTTGTGCCGAATTGACCTTCTCACTGTTCGGTGGTTGCGTCGACATATCCTAAAAGAAAATGTGAAATGGAACATATACTAAATCATTCAGATGTTCTTTTTAAACGTACAACAAAAAACATGCTGTTTAATTGTTTACTGAGCAACCTGACAGCTACTTTAGTAACACAAACACACACACGCACGCACGCAAACACATGCACACAACACGCACACAACATGAACATATATTCCTACCTAATGTGGTAACAGGTCAGATGGGCATTAAACAAAACCAACTGGGCACCAGAGATATAGTATCTATGCACCAAACCATCTGGGCACTAGAGAAATGTGGGCATCTGGACAATGGGGAACAATGGACAGGTGGGCACCTGGACAACCGAGCACTACTAGGGACATGTGGGCACCTGGACGAGTAGGCACCTTCATTTATAGCATGCTGTTTGACCCACTGTTCTTTAAACCCCCAACATGACACAATAGCAAGGTCAAAAGAGTTTATTTGCCAAAATAGTTCTGAGGTCAAAAGTATATAACATCAGAGTTTCAAAATTCAATAGAAGAGTGTATTTGCCAAAAGAGAAGTACCAAAAATAACAATTACGTGGAAGTAGGAAGTAGTTAAATGGAAGTAGTTCAAAAAAGGTAAAATATTAATGCCCAGTTGTCTAGGTGCCCACATGTCCCTAGAGCCCAGTTGTCCAGGTGCCCAGTCATCCAACACATGTCTGTAGTGCCCACTCGACTTGATATACACTACTTACACACACACACACACACACACACACACACACACACACACACACACACACACACACACTCACAGACACACACACACACACACAAACGAACAGTCATCCTTATAACAGTATTTATGTACATTATATTTTTTAGCCTTTTTTATTAAACATACAATCGATATTAAAAAATAAAAATAAAATACATACCATTCAAATCTGTCCAAACAAGCCCTCCGCAGCATCAGCTTCATATTGTGCCTGCATGAACTGCATTTAACCTTCCTTTTCAGTATTTTTTTCTTTTGTCGCCATTTAATCAGTTTGTGTGTGTTTTTTGTTGTTTTCCTCCCTTCTGTCAATTCTCTTAATTTACTGGACAAACCAGGCATTTTGGCAGAAACAAGCTCACAAACGAAAAATCTCTGCAGCAAACCTCACTTTCAGTTCTCATCTGTTGCTGTTAGCTTTGCCACTCAGTCATATTGTCCCGCCAGAATACGTAACCAAAAAAGAAAAAAGTCACATCAGCGTGCTTCTGGATTGGAGGGGAGCTCCGTGGCAATCCCCTTCCTGCCATTCAACCAAATCAGAGGCAAGCAGGGAGGATGCTTCCTATGTCAATCAAGACAGACGACTGGCCAATCATGTCGCGCAAAGGGTGGGTCGAGTCCAAGCTCTTGAGCAGCTGAGCTGAGGCGGCGGGCTTTCTCAATATTCAATAGTTAGCAAGAATGAACACCGCTACTCGTCAAGCACGAAATAAACGTCCAAGGCCGATAGATGTTATTGAGGATGAGGAAGAAGGCAACAGCACAGGTAAGCTACTGTACAAAAGCCATATATGTTGCTTGGAACGTGTATTTGTTTACTTGTTTTGTCCTGCAAAATACGATGATGAACTGATCACAAACATCAATGTAGCTAGTTAGCTAGTTGCACTGTTATTTATTGTTTTTATTCTATGGAGCACCCCAACCTCAGCTTTTCACAGTGCAATGTACTTGTACATAAATCTTGTGAGAATAAACATCTTGAATCTTGAAGCGTTAGCCTTGCTATCGCTCAGGTTAGTGGAGCAGGGTTCAAAACCAACGGCACTACATCGTCCAGGGCTTGCAGGGGCCGAATTAGAATTAGGCCGAATTTTCAAGAGGTCCCCCGCTAGATGATAATTTTGAACTAAATGGGACCCTTGCGGGTGTGTAACTCTGAGAGTATACAAAAGGAACCAAATGGACCCGGTAGTGTCCATTATTTTTACACTCTAAATTAATCAACAATAACTTTAGCCTCTCAAAAAGGGACATATCTTTTCAAATATAGCTCTGCAGGCTAATATGTGTGAGTTTGGAGGTGTTGACAGGAAAACGTTTAAGAACCACTGGCTTATACTGATTGAAACCGAACCATGTTTAGCCCAGGGACCAACAAATGTATATTTGGGACAAATGTGCCTTATCCACAATGAGTTAATTGAAAAAGGCTTCAAAGCTCCCCAGACCTATTTGGAATGAATTATTTTAGCCTTCATATAGCATAATAGTGGTACAAAAATATTTATAACAATTATTTTTAACTTAGAACCAAGCCATCCAGCTTTCCAGTGAATCATGACCATGAAACCTTTGATTCCATGAAAAGAAAAAAAGAAACGCTAAACAAAGGATATTTATGAAATGAAGTATATCAAATAATTAAATATTCAAATATTTCTTTTCACAGAACCAAAGGTTTCATGGTCATGATTGACTGGAATCCTGGATGGCTTGGTTCTAGGTTTAAAATAATTGTTATAAATACTTTCGTAAAAGCCTATGGTGAAAATGAATGGGGCTTATTTTAGTGGAACCAGTAAACCCTGCCCACTATTATGCTCTATTAGAGTCTCTGTGCCACACACCAGTATGGTGGCAAATATGGTTTACAGCACTGTTTCCTAGACAGTGGGTCGGGACCCATTGGTGGGTCAGACATTTGTGGTGATCATGTTCTTTTCCAACATTTATCAATCTATATCTTTCCAGATTTGACGAAAATAATACATTTAAAAAACAAACAAATCTTAAAAAAGAAAAAACGCAAATATTAAATATGTATTAAGAAACAGTGAAAATAGCCAATCTACAAGCTCTCAACATGGTGTGTACTGATTGATGTGAAGGGTTATGTCACATTAGGTCCAATTGAAACATTCAACTTGTGCTTATGCCATTACTCAGTGTTATAGCTGGCAAACACAACATTAGTAACAAGCACTTTTGGTTAACTAATCACCATTTGTCATCTCTGTTTCAGGAAACCCTGTGTCCCAGTCGCCCACTGCTGAGCTGGCAGCAAAGAGGATGCGCACACAGCTAGAGAAGGCCAAGAATAATGAAGCTTCTCAAGCTAAAGTGATTGAGAAGTTAACGAAAGAGAAGGAAGACCTTCTGGCTGAAGTGGCCAAATGTAAGTACTCCACTTGTATTCAATTACATTAGACAGGACAACTATCCACTCGTCCTTGACTCTTTGCCCTGTTACCCCCCAAACTGTGGAACAAACTCCCAGTTGCACTTAGAACTACAGACTCAATGGTTAGTTAATTTTGCAAACTTCAAATAGGCTATTTGCAGTTCTGTTCTACTGTAGCCTAGAGTTATTAGTTTTAAGAACCTTGTTAACCAGTAAAATCACTCTCAGCCCCACTGCTCCTTTTTGTAGTTTGTGATGTGATATAGGCCTTGCTACATGCTCAGTGTTTGTGCTGTTGTATTCCCTAAGATGCCCCTCTCTATTGTGTCTAATGCGTTATTTGTCTTTGTATCTATTGTTTTGCTTTCTTAGATAAGAAAAAAAGTACCAAGGCAAATGAAGAAGAGTATGCATCCAGTGACTCCCAGATTTCCACAACCTCCACATCTTCCTCTTTGTCATCCTCCTACTCTTCAACCTCAGAGGAGGAGAGAAAGAAGAAAGGGAAGAAGATGAGGAAGAAAGGGAAGACACAGAAACGGCCAAAAAGGAAGAAGGCAAAGTCCAGTAAGGAAAAAGGAAGACGCAGAGGTAACTGTGCTTTGCAAACATGACCTTTTTGGTGACCACAACACACACACACCTGCGCTCTTTCCTAATAACTTGTACTTTTGCTTTATGGTGTCAACTTATTTTTGAATATAAGATCTTTCAGGCTTTTGTTAGTTTAAAGGGTACAACCGTATTACGTATTTTGGTGTCAAAACGCCTGTTGTATCAAGAAAAACTACAGAAATGACAGCAGAGATCTACAGCTACAATCGTAGGTCTGCTATATCAAATTTCATTGATATCACGATTCATCACGATTTTTCTCTTTGTATTTTTCATTTCAGCAATGAATCCTCAGCAGGTGGTTGAGAGGTACAAGAAGGTGCTGGGTCACTTCCAGAAGGGCAAAAATCTATCTGAGAGCTACAATGCTGTGGACGTCAACAAAAACACCATTACAACCAGCGCCTCCATTCCAGAGCTCGCCATATCCGCACCGGATAAATATGCTGACGTTCTGCAGGGCTATTCTAGGTCGCAGAAGCTGAATGTATTTGTGCAGGAATGTTCAAAGGTCCTCAGTGAGGACCCCGAGTGATGGCTAAGGTAGATAAGCTTAAGGATGAAGGGAAACTACTCCCGATCTCAAAGAGAACATAATCTCCCTTTTTTTTTTCTTTTTCGGATCACAGTTTTAAGGGCAAGGTCACACCACACTTTTATTCTTCCTAGCACTCCATTTACCTCTTTAAATACATTGGCAGAATCTGTCCTTATAGGTGGAATAAAAGAGTGGTGTGACCATACCTGAAGTAGGTTACCTCCAGTCCAGATATTTAAATTGTTTTAAAGGGTGTGTTGGCTACTTAAAAAATGGAGGTCCCTCACACTGTCTTCACTCACAGGAGGAGGTTATTAGGCATCAGATAAATATTATAGTAGCTTAATGAACTACTCCTGTGAGTGAAAATGGTGTGCAGTATTTCCTTTATTATTATTATTTTATTTCTACTGCACCGATTTCCTGTCCTGGTGCTGAAAAGGACTTTATATTGCACTAATTGCCCGTTCTCTACAAAGGACGTTGTTCAAAGTGTGTACATTATTATTTTTCTTCTATTGCACTGATTTCCTGTCCTGGTGCTGAAAAGGACCCTCCTATATTGCACTGATTGCCTGTACTCTAAGTGTTTACATTTTATAGGAAAATGCTCCGTTCAACTGTCAGGGTAAATGTTTTATAAATTTATATTGGAATTAAATGTTAAATGCTGTTCTCTACACCGTTACGTCTGTCACATTTATTGTGGTAAAAGATTGTTTAAATCTTTCACTGATCATTGTGTTAAACATGAAATAATGTAGAATACTTGGTCTGTAAGGCAATCTCTTGGACTAGTTGGACAGGACACACCATAACATATGCAAATGTTTTTTATATTTTTTAATCCTTAGCACTGTCTCACAAATCATTTGCGAAACATGAGAATTCTAGTTGTGTGTCGTGTCAGCACCCATGAAGGCCGGGAAGTTTGTAACAGGTAAGTAGAAAGTCCACATTAACAAATGCTTTATAAAACATTACTAATACATCTATAAATCATTGGTATATGTTATCAAGAGCCCTAATGTAAAGTGAAGACAATTCATTATTTACGAATGTCTGTTAAATGTGAACAAACGTGGTGGCGACATTAACAAATACTTATAAATAATGAATAGTTTTCACTTTACATTAGGGCTCTTGATGACATCAACTACTGATTTATAGGTATTTAAGGAATGTTTTGTAAAGCATATATTAAACATGAACAAACACTGAGGTTGCCTTAAATGACAGTTATAAATAATGAATAGTCTTCACTTTACATTAGGGCTCTTAATAACATCTACTGATGGTTTATAGATATTTAAGGAATGTTTTGCAAAGCATATATTAAACATGAACAAACATTTAAGTCACCTTAATAGACCTTACTTAAGGGTAACTTATCTACAAATAGAATATAAATAATGTATAATTTTAATTACAAATGATTTATTAATCATTTACAAACATATATAAATGGTTTGTTCATGATTAATTTACTACTTACTAATGCCTTAATAACAACATACAAATGATGTTTAAACAGTTTGTAAATGTAAAGTTATACACTTACAAATGTCAATAAACAGTTTGTTCATGTTTACTAATCATCTACAAACTGCTTATAAATGTTAATAAATGCTTTATAACAGGTCGTCATTGTAAAGTGCTACCAAAAAACTTATACATATATGAAATTTGAAAACTTCCAATGTAACTAAAGGAGCTTATTTATACATCTCTGGTCTTTAAGAGAGCTCAGCTGTGCTTTCAAATGTATTTGCAAATCATCTGTAATGTTATCGTAAAAAAAAAAAAAAAGGACTTTAAACAGAGCCCTGAGGGACCCCACAAACCAAAAAGGGCTCTATATTAGAAAAGCTGGGTGGGGAAGGTCTTCTTTGACTAATAGGACAATGTTTGGAAAGTGCAAACTAAATAAGTTACAGGATTTATTTTGTCTTGCCATCTTGGGTTGAACTCAGCAGCTTTTGCAGTATTTTCAACATCAGCAGCAATCTGGACTGAAGAGGTCTAACCATGATTTTAATATCTTACAAGAAAACGATTACAACCAGATTTGTGATCAGATTAGCAGAGGGATGTAATAAAACTGATGTTACTTCCATCTTTATTTCACTCTGACACAACACTGATATAAATCACAGAATTGGGAGATCAAGATCAGTCTTAGTGCAAATGTTTGATATCAGACCGCACCTCAATCAGACTTGGGAAAAGTCAAATGCAAAACCATTTGAGGCTGAACACAAACAGAAACCAACATATCTGCAGCGTGGAGGTGTCCATGCCAAAGAACAACCCAAAGTAAAATGTGCTCAGCCACTGCAAGAAATTCGTTTGCAATGCAAATTCCCACAGTCAGACACTCAGAAGGTAAAGCAGCCTAATGAGAGCAGAACTTATAGCAGCCAGCAGGCAACACCATATCTCCCACAAACAGGCTGAGCAGAGCAGCAATGAAATGAACTGAAACTCATAACTATGTATGAGAACCTGTGATGGGAACGAGCGGCACAGCAAAGAGGAAATTGGATTTAGAAAGTTTATTTTGAAGTTTCCTGATGATACGGCTGTGATGTATTTCTTTATTAACTCAGAAGATCCCAGCTGCTTCAATATGGTGTAAGATTAGCACCCATATATCAGAGGGAGCTGTTTTTGGTTCATCATCAAACATTTTTAAAGCTTCTGTGGTTGACCAAAGCAACTTAAGCAGATTTATTCCTATAAATATTTTCAGATTAGATCTGGAGAAAAAGAAAACAAAAGAAAACAAAAAAATGCAGTTCCTCCAGTGTCCACTTAAGACCAACTTTCAAATCAATCTTGATTATAGCCTGGCCCAGAATAAAATGTGAGCTCTTTGCTTCATTTCATCATTAATAACAGGTGAGTGACTGTTTTTATTAGAGTCATATAAAGGCTGAAGCCATGTCCCAGGTCAGAGGCTACTTCTCTTTAGGGTTAGTACTGATGTATTATATGAAAAGCTTTGTTACACAAACCAGAGTTTTAAAGGAGCACAGAAACCGGACATTTATGACAAAAACTCGCTCCAATAACAAACAACACCAATCACTGCAGTATCAGGGTATCCAGGTTTGTATGACTCCAACTGTATTATCAAGGATATATACAGAAACTCAAACTCAAATGGCACTATTTAGGACATCCAGGTATTCATCATCCTAACTTCAATATCCAGGAGAAGCAGGTATTTATTTCACACCTATTCAATTATTGACCGAAACACCTCCATTGTATCACTCTTTAATCACTGAATCATGTTATAATGTATTGTACCACCAACCAGGTATTGTCATATGTATCATACTATGGTTACACCTCAATAATAATAAGGTGTCATTTGAGGCATTAAGGATTTGAAAACTAGATGAGAAAACAGCAGGTGGTCCATGGTGTGTATTTTACAGTTCAGAGACACAGATCTGCTATTATTACTGAACTTTTTTAAAACTGTGTTTGTGGTTTCTCTCAATTTTTCACAGCTCTACAGACATAAACAAACAGACAATAGTCCATCTACCTCAGGAAGTCTTTTGAATATGTAAAGACTGGTTTGAGGTTTTTTCTCACAACTGTAAAAACCTAAAGGACTATAGCACTCCTTTGAGGTCCAGATCAAAAGGGTCCTGAAGGACAATGATGTTCTGATGAATATGCTCCTCTTTGTGTCCCTTATTGTCTTCTCTTTCATGTTGCTAATGGAGCTCCACAGTGGGGCCTTTATTTATGTCTGACTATCAAATCAGATCATCATTATCTAAAGTGGAAGCTGTGCTGGTTGGATCAAGGTTTGTTATACGAGGAAAATCATGGAAATACCACCTGAACAGAAAACAGGACTCTTTGTGTTTCATCAAACTTTTCTTATATGGACACAAAGTGACATCTGTGTTATCCCTCTGTGTGAATAAATAACCACAATGTTTGGTGGATTAACTATATATAGTTGAAACCAGAAGTTTACATAAACTGTACAAAAAGGCACATAACCTTTTTTTTCTCACTGTCTAACATTAAATCAGATTAAACTTTTCCTGTTTTTGGTCAATTAGGATTACCAAAATTATTTTACTTGCCAAATGCCAAAATAATGAGAGAGAGAATTTTTTAGACATTTTTTTTTTTTACTTTATCGAGGGTCAAAAGTTTACATACTGTTGGCAGAGCAGCCTGTTACAGCAGCTACGTGTTGTGAACCTAAACAGCACTGAACATGGAGAAAAAGGATGATGAAAAAGAAACACAAGGCACTCTGCTGCTTTGCATTGCACTCACACTGCAACTCACATCAGCTTTTTATTAACCCCACCCACCGGACAGGTGGCTTGTGGGCGTGCAATCAAATTAAATACATCATCAAAATACATCACAAATCAAATCTTTCCATTAGTTGAAAGGGGTTTAAATAGATTAAATAAAAAATCAATAATTGAGAGCACCATTCAACACCCCCACTTGCTCTCACATTATTACCAACAATATATATATATATATATATATATTTTTTTTTTTTGCTTTGGTTATCCCTAAACATAAATCCGTCAAATTTGGCCAACTTAAATTTTGTTGCAGGTTTGGTCATTGCATCTGCAACCATCTTGTCGTTAGGACAGTATTCTAATAATACTTTACCATCAGTCACAGCAGAATGTATGAAGTGGTACTTAATGTCCACATGTTTACATCGCTGCCTACTGACTGGGTTCTTAGCTAAAGCAAGTGTGCCTTGGTTATCTTCACACACACTGGGTAATGTATATATATATTTATCAATGCCACCTAAAAGTTGTGTGAGGTACAGACACTCTTGGATGGTTGCAGCCAGAGCAATATACTCCGCCTCACAGGTGGACAGTGCTACAGTAGGCTGCTTTTTTGTCTTCCACGACACAAGAGTGCCGCTCGTAGTCTGGCTTACACAATACCCTGTTGTACTTCGTCGATCATTTACATCACCAGCCCAAGTTGCATCACTGTAGGCATGGATACCCAGGTTCTCATCACATTTTCTATAACACAACTTCTTATCACTCGTCCCTCTAAGATACCTAAGCATATGTTTGATTGTCCCAAAATGCTGGTCAGTAGGTGCATGAAAATACTGTGACAGTTTGCTCACAATGGCCCTCTTTTATCAAGCTTGCGTACAGCAGAAAAATTACGTACACCTTGCGTATGAAAGTTGTGACACGAGGATCGGCATTTATCAATCTGCACGTGAGCATGCCCTGCGGCCAAATCTCACGACAGGTCTAACATTGTGTACGAAAGTTTGAGTAAGTGCAGATTTGCGGTGCAGCAAATGTCTGTCTCAAAATAATTAATAAACAAACCTCAAACCTGTCATTAAGCACAATCAGCCAGATTTCATTAAAGATTAAGATGTAAATAAAATAACATAAAATAAATTTATGTCCTTAGTGAATAGGCCTATTTGATAACTCTTCCCAGAAACACTGCCACAGAGCAGGAGCGCCGTTTTAACATTGCGCACACAAGCGCCACTGTGGAGCACTGTGTTTGACTCCTAAAAGGCAGGTAGCTCTGTCTTGGCCCAGCAGCAGGGACGTTGTACACTGCTGAAAGGGCATGGGACATTATTTGGGCCAGTACAGTTTTGCACAGTGTTGCACTGGCAAATGAAGTGCCAT